GGGGGGACAGGGACACCCGGGATGGGGACACGGGGGGACAGGGACACGCAGTCAGGTGCAGGATGCGGTGACTGGGGACACCCAGGACGGTGCTGGATGGGGATGGACTGGGACAAGGACACCCAGGCTGGGGACAGGGTGGCTGGGGACACCCAGGTTGCTGCAGGTGGGTGGGCACAGACTCCAGGGACACACAAGCCGGTGCAGGATGGGGACAAGGACACCCAGGATGGGGACAGAGTGGGGATGCAGAGAGTCACCAGGGACACCCAGGATGGTGCAGGTGGGTGGGGACACAGGGGAACAGGGGCACACAGTCAGGTGCAGGATGGGGTGACGGGGGACACCCAGGGCGGTGCTGGATGGGGATGGGGAGGCTGGGAATGCCCAGGATGGGGATGGGGTCACTGGGAACACCCAGGCTGGTGCAGGGGATGGGCACAGTCACCAGGGATGCCCAGGCTGGCACAGCACAGGGACAGGGTGGATGGGGATGCCCAGGATAGGAATGGGGTGTGCTGTGACACGCAGACTGGTGCAGGATGGGGACAGGGGAGGACAGGGACACCCAGGATGGTGCAGGTGGATGGGGACAGTCTCCAGGGACACCCAGACTGGTGCAGGATGGGGTGATTTGGGATGCCCAGGGCGGTGCAGGTGACAGGGTCGGTCCCAGGGACACCCAGGCTGGCTCGGGGCACAGCGGGGGGGTGGCCGTGCCCCCACAGCCACGTCCCCGTGCCCGGCAGGGGAGCCCGAGTTCCGCTACGTGGCCGGGATGCACGGGAACGAGGTGCTGGGCCGGGAGCTGCTGCTCAACCTCATGGAATACCTGTGCCGGGAATTCCGGAGGGGCAACCCCCGCGTGGTGCAGCTGGTCACGGACACCCGGATCCACCTGCTGCCCTCCATGAACCCCGACGGATACGAGACCGCCTACGAGCTGGTAGGGATGGGGGACAGGACCCCCTGGGGCCGCCCCGGGGCCCATCCCAGTGCCCATCCCAGTGCCCATCCCAGTGCCCCCGTGCCCCCACAGGGCTCGGAGCTGGCGGGCTGGGCCATGGGCCGCTGGACCTACGAGGGCATCGACCTCAACCACAACTTCGCCGACCTGAACACGGCGCTGTGGGACGCCGAGGACAACGACCTGGTGCCGCACGAGTTCCCCAACCACTACATCCCCATCCCCGAGTACTACACCCTGGCCAACGCCACGGTGAGCCCCCGAGACCCCCCAGGCTGTGCCAACACCACGATGGGCCCCCTGAAACCTCCCAGTCTGTGCCAATGCCACGGTGAGCCCCCC